CCGAGCCTACCGGGCTTTGAATCCTTTCCGCTTCTTCATTCAATCCTTTGTACTCGATTCCCTTATTCCCATATTGAATGCATATGATCCCCCTGCGACTTGTTGGGTCTTGCATCAGCCATGGCCGTCGAGAACCGGGGTCCTGAGCTTCAGGCAGTATGCTACACCCTTGCGACTGCTGCGATTATATCGACATTACTACGATGCTTTGTCCGTGTGCGACTCGTCAAGAACTTTGGCTTTGACGATTGGTGCATGTGTACCGCTCTCGTGAGTCCCATCCCGTCTGTCCCTACTGGTCCACCATTGACCCAGACATCGACAGTGTTCATTCCTCCTATTTGTCATCTGCGCCCTCATTGGAGTTCACTATGGCACCGGCCGTCACCACAAAGACCTGGACCCCGAAGATATCAAGCAAGCAATGAAATACTGGTGGTGGTGCTACCTATGGTACTGCACATCCATGATCGCCTCCAAAATATCCATCGGCTACTTCCTCCTCCGAATCACGGTCCGAAAGATGGACGTCTGGATCATCTACGGCGTCATGATGATCACCGTCTGCACCGGCCTTGTCTTCTTCTTTGTCACCCTCTTTCAGTGCCGACCCATCTCCTTCTTCTGGAACAAGGACCAGAATGGTACATGCGTCAACGTCGAGGTCATCATCGCCCTCACATACCTATACAGCGTCTTTAGTGTCATTTCCGACTTTACATGCGCCATCCTACCCATGTTTCTCGTGTGGAAGCTCAACATGGGAAGGAAGACCAAGATTGCTCTCATTCCTATCATGGCTATGGCCTGCGTGTAGGTACCCCCTTATCCCAGCACAGGATAAACAACTCACATTGTATAGGGCGAGTTCAGCCGTGGTAGTCCGTTTCGCATTCGTCAAAGATTTCAAAAGCCCAGACTTTCTCTGTAAGTCTCTCCCAAACTCCATTGCACCATCACAACTCCAAGCAAACATCTCTGCTAACACCTCCCAGGGGCAACCCTTGACATCGCCATCTGGTCCACCACCGAACAAGGCCTCGCCGTCACTGCCGGCAGCCTCGCTACTTTGCGACCTTTGCTTCGATTACTCGGCCACAAGCTTGGCATATCGACATCGGGCCCGTCTGTCTTGCAGGACACGGATCAGCCCATTGCATCGGGGGGGTTCAAGTCAAAGGGTACTGACGGCAGCGGGAATAGGCATCGCAGCCTTTTTAGCCTCACCACATTCACACGGGAGGACGACCTGAATGGCCACGGGCGAGACAGCGAGGCAGCTTACGCTGGGAGGAGCCATTTCGACAGGCCGGGACCGGAAAAGTCTGTCTGGGGGACGAGGACGAGCGTGGAGAATGAGAGCGAGGAGGAGTTGACGAGGATGGGGCAGCAACACAACAAAGGGCTGAGTGGTGATTCACAGCGTATCGTCAAGGTGACGACCTTTCAGGTCCAGGAGGATCGAATCTAAGTATAACTAATGAATGAATCTTGTTTCTGCTTGTTCACGACATCACAGAGAGAGGCCGTAGCGATCATTTTATCTTGTTCAGCCAAGCACCCCTCTTCAGAAGTGTCGTGTGTCGTGCCGGGTCAACACACAAATGGTGCCTGTGACGTCAATGCCTCGGGGACCCGGGAGGTCCTAGATTAAGACATTCAAGCTCTTGTTTAAGGCCCAGTCGGCTGCAGGATGCAGGACACGGTGGGCCAACAATTGCACATGTCGCAGTCCCATCCGCCCTCTGTCTCTACCGGCGGTAAGCTCACATGGGGGACACGCGGCACAACAGGTCGTCCGCCAGCCCTTGATTGGCCCATGTCGTTCGGTAGGCGAGAGAAGGGACAACCTCTTGTCAGGCTGAGTACTCGTGTTGGAAAAGAGCCGAAGAGCGAGGCTGAAGAGGAGGGGAGTGAGATGTATCAAGATATTCATTCGCCAATCTCGCGGACCCGATTCTCTCTCCAGGTTCCAAGATTGAGTGTGGGTGTGGGTCAAAAGCGAGCGCTCTGTTTAGGCCCTGATCATGAACGGGGTTCAAAATGAATCACGTTTTGGAGAGGGACATGCTGGCGCATAAAATTAGGTTGGCCAATGTCTGGTACCAAAACCCCGTTCATTGCACGCGTGATTGAATTGATGAATCACCCCCTCACGGCGGGTTCAAAATGAATCACAGGATCGTCGCCAATTGAGCTTCAAAGAGTAAGTCCGCAACGTGCGGGAGCTCGTGGCGAGATCGATACATCTTGTTCTGGGCCAGTATGCACTTGCGACAGCATATGCTCATGTCGGCGGTTGGGAGCAGTGCTGAATTAAGCCTGGCGCGTCTGATAGGCGTCTAACCCGAAAACTCAAAGCGTGATTCATTTTGAACCCCGTTCATGATCAGGGCCTTAACACTGAGCCTCTCAGGTCGCACGATACAACGTAGCAGGCGTTCGTCCCTAGCAGTAAAAGGGGCATGGGGGCGGCGCATAAGACCATATACAGTTAGTGGCAGGCTGATGCCAAGCCGACAAGCTTATCTGCACAATTGATGATCCTCCCGCGTCTGCTTTCACTGGGCGAGACAAGACATTGATTGACGCGATACCTTCGAGAAACCGACCGCATTCTTGGAATTGACTCAAATCCTGTTCGTATTTGTCCACGCTGACGGGTCTATGTATTGCTTTTCCCTATCCAACGTTTCCTCTGGAATGTTTCCTCGGCCAAGTCAGCCTTGCTGGCCCACCATTGGAGTTTATCGATGGGTAATCACAAGGAACGATATACTTAGAAACGAGACGTCTATCATGACATCCGTATATATTCTGAATAAGGAAGCTGTTACTTGTCAATATCGTCTAACTCGTACAGCCGCGTCACCTCGACCATCTAGGATACAAGACCGGCAACTAGAAAAGCTTGACCTTGATTTTCAAACTCTGTCCATGTCACCCCGCATGGGGCCTCAGCTAGGCTCATGCCAGTATGCAGCTTGTCACATTTGGTGATGGCATCAAAAGAAAGATGAGGGGGGGTTAGCTGAGAAAAACAGGTTCCGATGTCTTTCGGAACTGCCCTGAGCGGGACCACGTCACACTGAATGCCCCTCGGACTCATAATGGGGCCATGGATTGCACTTTGCTGTTAATTGCGGTGAAGTGTTGGGGTTATTTTTTAATCGGATTACTATACAGTGCAGCAATGCTGGCGACAGAACACCAGGAGAGAAACCCAAGTGAGAAGTACATGGGAGCTGTGAGGGATGTGAACCAGTCAGTTCAGCTGTTGCCAGCCAAGGCAACATATGCCTTGCATGTGGATAAGCAATGTGTCTATGATTACCCCTTCGCGCATCAGAAACACGAACAGAAGTATAGATAGTATTGCTTCTTTTGAAAACTCGACCAAGACCACATGCAATTCCTCTGAAACAGCAGCAAACCCTGTCAAGCTGTACCATTGTGCTGATGTTGGACAACTCTCGGCCAAACACCACGCGGGACAGGGCCAGATATTCCTGGAATCCCCCTTTAGAGGTGCCTGGCTAGTAAGAGCCAAGTGTTGCAGAGTGTCAGACGCTTATTATAGCTGACAGCGGGAGTAAGCCCTACGACACCGAAGAGTTTCGGACTCTTGTGTTGAGATTCTGTTTGTCGACAGGCTCACCGACTGATTAAAGGATATTTACATAAGATGGCATCACGAGGACAGTTCCGCGGTTCATTTTTCTACTCTTGGTAATTGGATTGCCTCTCAATGCTCTTGTCGGGGTCAGAGTTGTGAAGCTTACTCAGATCCAAGGCACTGCCTCAACAAATGATATCCTATAGTGCACACCTCTTATCCCTTGAACTACCATCTACTGTGTCCATAACTAATTGAATCAATGGTATTTCTATCTCTATCAAAGGAGAAGTTGCCTAACCTGACAACACAGCCACTACTCGCCAAGTCCGAGTCTTACCTGAGCCTTGCGTTCACTTGGTTCTATTCGTCGTTTCTGCGCCATGTTAATGCCTGCAAGTGGCAAGAGTTGCCTTTGTCTTTCATAAGTAGTCTCTGATTAACCTATTCAAGATGAACAAAATTGCACTGCGGTTCTAGATTTCGTTGAACGGAACTGAACGCTTGCGTTGATTTGGGACCACGCTCAACCCTTTAAAATCCAGACAAGCACAATACATTACGGCGGCCTTGAGTCTGCTATCATTATATGCCATCTTCATACCGTATAAAAATCTTTGTGCGGAACTGCTATAGGTGATTTCTATTTAACTGTTTTGTGCAAAGAGCATTGAGTAGAATGAAGTCTTTTGATAAAGTGATCGACCTCTTTTTCGCCACCATTTCCTTCTAGAAACTCTCAACCCCATTGCCACTGATTCCAAAGTCCACTAAAAGAGAAGAATGCCTTGCTAGAATTTGCCACCTTTGAGTTCCCCTTACTGTGTCATCTGACCAGCTTCCGTTCTAGGAAAACGTACGAGGTGATCGACGTTCGGATCTGCAGGCCCCAAGAGAGGCTGAGCAACAAGGCTGAAGACGCATCGCCATCAGAAGAAAGAGGCGACTTGTGTCATTGATATTCAATCTTGATTGCTTGGATGAAAGTGGTCACTTGCAATTCACAGCCATCATGTTCGGGGAGGCTGACGAGGCATGAGTTGTGTTGGTGGAGTTTGACCGTATTGAACGTATGAGTGACTACTCTCGCCAAAAGGACAGAAAAGATTATAAAGAGAGCAGTCTAAAGTAGTGAATATCATCTTTAACTTGCTGAACTGTATCCTCCCGAGTCCTAAAGGTTGGGTGGACTGATTCACTATCAAGAGCCACCGGTCTCACGATTACCTTTATTCATTGTTTTCATACCCAACCTCTTATTGTGGAAAATACTTCACTAGGATGCCCTAAATAAAGGGCATTTCAATGCGCAGCAGTGATTGCCTCTGCCGTACGTATCCGCAAGTGGGCGACTGCGACCCCCTATTCTTCAACAGTATGGAAACTACCAGTCATCCAAAGAGTAACACTTCTTCCAGAGCAAGAGGAACGAGCTGAATCTTTGCAAGAGTGGGCAGAGCTCACCATCCTCATGTGCCGTAAGGGAGCGGCGCCAAGGGGCTGGTGGAAATTGGCTTGCAGCACTCCTAAAAGGCCCGGTTGAAGTCAACCATGTCCAAAGGAAGGCCTCATTAGCCGATGGGTCCCTCTACAAGTCCTACTCGAGGCATTCAGCATCTTTACGTCTTGATTGGCCATGTCGAGGTATGAACTCTTACACCCCCTTTGTCAGATGGGCCGAGAATGATCACGCACCTTACCTCTAGCCTGCCAGGACCAGACTCCTGCAGGCGGCACCAGGACAAACACACACCTATCGACTCACCCAAGCAAAGGGGCCATGACACTACGTAATTGACGCTGTTGGAGGGGGGTATATTCATCCATCTAAACAAGTGTGAGTGGTGATGCACTATACGCCAACACATGCCTCAAAAACAAGATTACAACTACTCTCGAACCTCCTCTTCAGGCGTCACACCCCCCAGCGGTATCAGCTCAACCTCGATCCTGGCCCAGGTAATGTTCTCCCTCCACCCGGGCGTATCAGCCCCTAGGTCTGACTCCCACAGAATCCCCGACAGCTCGCGCACCATCTTCTGGCCAAAGGAGCCCACCCACCACGCCAGCTTTCCCAGGGCGTGTAGTTGCACGCCCCAGTGCATCATGAGAAACATGGCCACGGGGTCTGACTTCTTGAGGGCTGGGCCAAACTCGCGGCCTGCCATGGCAGGGAACCCGATGGCTGCCCCCTTGTACAGGTCCTTGGAGTCCACCTCGAAGCATTTCTTGATTGCTGTGAAGCTTGATCGGTAGATGCGGGTGCGGACTGCGTCCTCTGCGCGAGCTTCTGGGTCACTGCTCTCACGCCCTCTTGGTTGAATGGCCTTTTCAATGATGGCCGATAGCCGTTCAAGTGCAGCTTCAGTCTCGCTTGGCAAAGACGCCGGCGTCTGAGTCTGCTGTGACGTCCGAATTAGGATCGCCTCTGTAGACTGTGACAGGGCACCCGAGATGAGGACGTCATAGTACCTATCAGCGATAGAAGCGTTACCCATCAGCAGTTCCCACAGAGCAACCATGCGTTCCAGGATGTTTTGCTCAAACGCAATCATGCCCTCGCACTGGGCGAGTGCCATGTTGACCCCCACGGCGAGAAAGGAGAACATGAACATCTTTTGCGCATTCTCTGGCGTCACATTCTCAAGCTGCGCGCGAAAAGCCCTGCTCGCCTTGTCGTAGTACTCCAACGCCAACTTGACGTAGACGACAGGATCCTCATCCATGACGGCGTCGCCGCAAAGGCCTATTTCGAGTGCAACAAATGCAAACATGCCGTGTAGGAGGTACTCGTTCTTGAGTGCCCAGATTGGCATGTCGCCTTGCAGCCACTTGATGTCCTCGGGGATGCAGACGAGACTCATAAAGGTGCGCGTGGACCAGCGGTGCATCAACTCGAGCTCGAGACGTCGACGGGTCTCTGTTGCGGGGAGCTGAGAGGGGGGATCTGGGAGGTATGAGCAGCCCTCGAGACCACGGGCTGCGCAGTTTGTGCATGGGGGGCCTTGTTCATCGCACTAGAATATGGGTTAGCTAATTTGTAGATGGAAGGAGTTGAGTTGTCTTGGAATTCCTCACTTTGACATGCCTCTTTTTGCAATTGCGACAACCATGCCGCGACTTGTTGTGAGTTCTCCGCTTCATCAGCATGATGCCTAAGTAAAATAGCTAGACCCCTCAATTGAAGCCTCGCCAATTCTAGAAAGGATAATGATGGAGCACGAGACCTAGCTCACAAGCTGGCAAGTGGATTGATGCAAGTCAGGGTTCAAGATGTCTAGCATAGAGTTGCCTAAACACGCAGTTGAGTTACTGTGGCTGTGCTTGAGGCTGTGCAGCAACGAGATGCCGTCTTATCCAGACATCGCCAGTTTGCAAGAAAGCGTTGAATTAATTCTTTTTAATTATTATCTATATTTCTATTCCAAGACGTCTATTCTCATTCATCGGCTGGTGTGGCACCACCTCTCTTTCGCCGTAAAAGCTCCTCCACACAAAGCGGCTTCTAGCATTGTACCCAGCAGTCCACCAACAATAACGCCGGCCGTCTCACCAACTCCCACGACCTGGAGACTGAATTCCTGGTTGATTCCAGGTTCAAGTGACTTCTCCTCCAAGACTTTGCCCATGACAATCATGTAGACGGCTCCTCCCCCCAGACCAGCACCAAAGGCCAGTAAGGCCACGGGTACAGGTGCCGAAAAGACAAGCAGTATCGCATTGATGAGAAATACTGCAGTAACGAAGCTCAAAGCTGTAAAAGCAACCCTGGTGCTCTCGGGCCGTATCAGCGGGGTATGAGTTCGGGCGATGAAGCTACCGATTTGGAACGCGAGGGCGTAGCTTGTGAAATACGAGAAGAAGGACCCTGTCGATGAAGGAAGCGGCAGTGCCCGAGAAATGCCAGGATATGCCAGCGTCTGTAGTGCAAACGCTGCGAATAAAGGAACCATGAAAGGTCGAACCATGCTTTTTGTGAGGTTGACTCGGTTCGTCGTGCTCAGGGCACGTGAAAGCTCCTCAACGGGATCCAGCATCGCCAGAGTCGGTCCATCTTCAACATGCGCCTTGCCGCGATCCTGTCGCGCCTCGGGATAATTCACTGGCGCTCCAGGCAAGACGACAAAGAAAGCGACAAGCATTGCACCCGTGAGCGCATAGATGCAGTCAATGAAATCGCGTAGAAACGACTCCATCCAGACCGCAAGAACAAACGGAAGAGCGGCACAAAACACAGCACCAGCTCCAACGCCGGCTCCCCATCCAGCGAGACCTGCGCGGCCGTAGTAGCGCATCATGCCGAGGAACGAAACCTCCATGGCGGCGGCCGACACAGACGCGAGGGCCGAGGTGAAGATGCGGATCGGAGGGGCGATGTTTGGCGGTGTGCTCTTGGTCACGATAGCGACGATGATCCAGCCACCGCCGACGGTGAGAGGGCGCATCCAGTAAGGCACATGGTGGAGGACGTGAGGAATCACCAGTTTGGTGATGAGCGCTGGGATGGTCTCGATGAGGAGGACGATCCAGCGTGGGTATGGGATAATAAGGTAGTTTGCCGAGTGGACGACAAACGGCACAATCACATTGACGAAGCCTGACAACGTTAGAAAGAGCCATTGACGGCATGTGCAGACGTACCGAGGATGGCAAAGCCTAGATATGCTGGCAGCGTTGTGCCACAGAAGCCTTCTCCAGCCTTGTAAGCCATCACGACAAGCGATGCCGACACCCAGCACAAAAGAACGCAGGTAGATGATGATTTGAGAATAGGATCATGAAGGGTAAAAAAGAGACAAACAAATAACCAAGCTTTGGGTCAAAGAGCCAGGCGCAAGCGAGGAAGATGAATGAGAGTGAAATACGAACAAGTTTCCAAATTAATCTCCCTTACGAAACGCACCGCACCGCATAGGTAGCTCTCCCAATTTAGCCAGGCAAGCACTCTATTTAGCTACTTGCCTTAGTAAAGCTGGTATCCGCCCCGGCCGATAAAACCACGCTCGATCAACATGACGACGACTCTCTCAATCAATGACCCTCCCTGCTACGACCGTCGCCCGTCGCATCTACGACGGAGCGAATCCCCATCTCGTCTACCCTGGCACAGCCTGTCATCATGACCCGCCCTCCCACGTGGGGCCGTGCCTGGGCCTCGACTCTCGGGCTCTGGGTGTCACGGTGTCGAATGATTGGACAGAGATGAATTTCGTGGGGGAATGTCAAAGGTCTCATGGTCTCAAGCTGGCGGTGGAGATAGCCTCAGTGCTACAACCTCGTGCCAAGGACGATATCGACCATGAAGTCCAAGGCGGTCATGATAGTGGTCAATTCTGGACGAGAACCCTGGAGATTAAGCGCGTTTGTACGGTCTGGTGTTACACATTAAATAATGATAGCACACATGAATTGCCGTGCTTAGATCCATCCTTTGATCCGCTGGCTGCAGATCATTCTGTCCCCATGATGCTATCCCCGTCATTTACCTGATGCCTCCTCCCTCGTTCCTTCCGGTGATGTCCTCCAAATGGCTTCTTCGTCCTCCGTCTCAGGCCGTTCAGCCTCCAGGATGAGAAGATTCCCCGACGCTGACCCCGAGGACGCCGCGTTCCCTTCGAGTCAGTCCGCGTCGCCGGTTTTTGCCCTGCGAGGCTCGTCTTTGTGTATTTCTAGAGTCATGTCGCAGCCGGTGAGGAGATGGGTTCTTGTTGTTCTGACATTTCTCCTCCTCTCTTGGACCTCATACGTGGCCTTGGTACGTGTAATCTTCTCCTCACGAGATTTTGCTAATAAGTCCTAGTTCACTTCACATCTTGATCGTGTTATCACCGGCCGGACCTACTCCGACACCCTCTCGCGTGCCGACCTCGATGGCCTCATGGTGCCTCCTCAAAGCACAAAGCCCAACTCCTCACGGCGTTTACGCCTTTTTATGCCCGCAGACTCGCCTCACATTAACCTCTGCAAGACCATCATGTCTGCCGTCGCCTTGGGCTACCCCATGCCTACTCTGTTAAACTGGGGACGCGAGTACAATCGACCTTCCTGGCATTTTGCCGGTAGTCACATCGCCAAACTAGAGAGTCTTTTGGGCGGTATCGAGGCTCTTCTCGAAGATGGCGCGAGTGTGGATGACGTCGCTGTCCTCGTCGACGCCTACGACATGTGGTTTCAGCTCCCGCCTTCTGTGCTCCTCGAACGTTACCACCGGCTTAACCGCGAAGCTGATGCTCGCGCGCATAAAGAATGGGCAGCCTTTGCAGACTTTCCCATCCCGCCTCCTCGCCAGGACATCATTGTCACTACGGCAAAGGACTGCTTCCCGGACAGCTACTCGGGCTCTGATCCACGGTATGAGCATTGGCCCGAGTCACCGATGCCCAGGGACATGTACGGTGAAGGCACAGATGTGATACCATGGTCTTTTGATCCTGCACGAAAGTACAAAAAGGTGCGCCCGAGATGTGTCAATAGCGGCCTCATCATGGGATCCATGGGTGCGTTAAGAGATGCCCTCCGCCGATGCAAGGAAAAGATTGATCGTGTCGCCATGAACGGCCGCCAGCTCTGGAGTGACCAGGCACTCATAGGAGAGGTTATTGGAGACCAAGAGATATGGCGCGAGTGGGTGAGGCATCTCGCCTCTTCATGGAACGGCTCCATCACCCACAACAAAGCATCTGTCGACGCCGCCGTCAGGAGCATCGCTGACGCTGCCTTGCTCGGTCAACGCTTCGAGTTCGGCATCGGTCTCGATTACAACTTCACCACGGCCCCGCCCACCTGCTCCGCCGAAGAAGACGGCTACTTTGCCAATCTCTCCGACGCCGCCAATGTCACCTCCGAGTCTGAAAAAGCCGGGGTCCCCGGTCCCCCGCGCATCAACGGCCCACCCCCGGAGCTACGCCGCAGCCCGGACAAGATCCTCTCCGGGACAAACTGGGGCTCGGTGCCGCTATACACCGACTTCTTCTTTGGCGTCACTCCCGTGGGCATCCACCACAACGCCTACGTCAACGGGCTCAAAGGCTTCCGGCTACGTGCCTGGTGGGACAAGATGTGGTACCACCCGCAGTTAAGAGACCTTATCGTCCAGCGTCTTAAGTCCGACACAGACGAGTCAGGGCGGCCGCTGGCAGAGGTCGAGGACGGAATTGTGTATCTGGCTGATGGGCATCACAAGACGGCGAGGGTGTTTAGCCCCCGCAATCCTTCGGGCGAGAGGTTTGTCCCCATCACGTGGGACGGCGTGTGTCAGAGCAAGGCCAGCGGGAGGATGTGGTATGACGAGCTATTTGGGGACGAAAAGGGTCCTCTACAAGGTTGAGATAGCATTAACCAACAGGAATTATTAATGTATAATGACAGCAAGCATCTTTCCCTCCTTGCAATACCCCAGATGAGATGCTCATGACCTCCTTCAGTGACACGAACAACCACATGAAACAACACAACATCAAACGACATGTAATCAAGAAAACATCCGATAATCATCGGCGTCTACAGGATCAATTAACCTCGATGGATCATCTCTCGGCGAAACGCTAACAAAAAGCCTCCTCCGCCATCGCGCATGAGCTCCCAAACCTGGGGAAATCTAAACTTGGGTCTGGAGACTATTGTTTAAAGGGTCGGGCCTTTTTGGGCGATCAGACGTCACATTCGCTAGAATTGCCAAGAAAGATTTGTTGTTGTCTGTTTGAAGTCGTCGACATTACTGCATTATCTAGAGTCATTATAGACTAAAAGAAAAGATCTCGATGTTGCCAATGAGGGTATAGAATCACAATCGCCATCCCAATAAAACACCATAAATCAGAAAGGATCATTGCCCGTAACGTTTCTAAGTTGCCTCCTCAGAAATCCTTACAATCTCGCAGAGGCTTCTCACAAAGATCATGTCAACCTCTTGTGGTTCAACATCCACCAACTTATCCTCTCCACTGCCCTCCTCAGTCATCATCTTGGCTGTAGCAACAAGCCTAGAAATGCACCGTAACAAGCCGGACTCAATGTTCCGCGTGGCATTGTCCTGCGCTGTAGTCGAGGGAACCTCATCCTTGCCAAAGCCCATGGCCGTGAGCGGCGTGCTAAACTTCTTTGCGAAGCGCCCGACATTGGGTGTCAGATGCGTCTGTGGCGCACTCAGCCCGAGCAGTGTAGCCGCCTTCTTGGGGATGTCCTCGCTCTGGTGTTTCGAGTACGACGTCGACGCGCGCTGCTGCGAGGCGGGCTGGTTTCGAGGAACGCGCGACACGTAGTTGTAGGCGACGATGTGGGCATACAGGGCGTCGCATATGTAATCCGAGCATCCGCCAAAGACGTGTCTCAGAGATGCCCAGGGTGCCGGAGACGCCACAGCGTCTTGGTGAGCGCCATCTTCGTACATGTGTAACCGGTGGCGCCTGGTACCGATCGACTCGCGCCCATGCGAGACAACCTTTTTCCAAATAGACCTCCGGGGCCCCGGGGCTGCCGGGTCGACCGGGGACTCGTTCCAGATGTCTGTTGAAGGATGTCGTACCTTCTTTGAGTATGTCCGGATCGTCTCGATGGTGAGACTGGACGAGAGGAGCATCGTCTCTGGGAAGCAGGCGAGCGACACTCTTAGCGTCTCGATGATATCTGGCGGCAGTGGAACGGCCTTTGCTAGATCGTCCACTGGTATTTGGGGTAGACAAGGTGGGTTTGAGCCGTCCAGCCACGACTGGACTGTAGGTAGTGGAGATGGGGGTGGTGTTTCTTGGATGTAGATAGTGTCTGGTCGAGAAAGGACTGGAGGATAGTCGGGGGTGTAATCGTCCATATAGCTGTCTTCCTCAATCTCCAGTTCAATGGAGCCAAAGTCTGACTTGAGGAGGATGGTGTTGTTGTCAGTCTCGTCGCGGAAGCGTTGTGTATAGTATGGTGACTGCTGTTGTCGAGGACTCTCGGTGCTTACCCGTGATTCGAAGCAGGGCGTCTTGGGTCTATAAGTGGCATCCAGGGGGTTCGTGGCTTGTGACAAGGAGGCTCTCCTTGGGGGTATCTTTGGGGCTCCCATGGACTTGATGGAAATCTGACGTTGGTGCCAGGATTGAGTACTGTCGCCACTAGGGCTAGTCTGGTGTGGTTGCTGCCTTGGTGGTTGGTCGATATCTTTCATCATAACTGTTATGTCAAATGTCGTCTCTGTGCTTGGGGGTGTTGGTGGTCGTGGAGATAGAGTAGCTGATTGATCCTCAATAGTAGGCTCTTCTTGCACCTCAATCTCATCTTCGTCGTCATCGTCGTCCGAATCAATGTCAATCCAGCTATATTCATGCGCTCGGTCCAGAGAGAGAAGATCCTTGGGTGATGGAGCGCTTCCACTGGCTGATGTAAGGGATGTAGCCGCTGTAACGATAGACTGCTCGCGTAGCCGAATTGAGGGAATCTCCATGCCTCCAGAAGACTCAGAGGCGGGCAGAGATTCAACATCTGAACCAGTCTCCTCGGAGACGTAGCCACGTTGTTCGATAAAGGATACCATCGACTGTCGTTCTTCGATCGAACCGAGAGTTTGTATTCGTACTGATCCGGACTGATATGGGGATGTGAGAATTCGACCTGGGCAGGGTGCTTTGTTGTCTTGCTTCTCCTGGTAAAAGATAGCCGTTGATGGTGAACCGGCAGTCATGTTCTTGGCCGCGAAAATCGCACTCGACATCTCCAGGTCTCTGGCCAACATCTCTGGGAAGCAGCCCTCCATATTGTCGTCGGCACCCTCGTCAGGCACAGGGCTGGGAGTATTAGAACGTGAATTGGGCAAGGCAAGCGGTAGTAGGCCGGTCATTTTCGAGACGGATCGTCGTTTCGCAGAGGTTGGTGATGGGGTTGTCCGGCGCAAATGATCGTGGGATAGAGCTGCGTCTTGTCTGTATAAGTAGACGTCGACTGGAATCTTGGACTCGAGCACAGACATGGAGGCTGATTCAACTCAACGGCGGTCAAAGACACAACTCTGACATGGACTCGTGAACCTCACGCTTGGGGGTAAAAGAGTTGCCAAAGGACACGGCGTGTTATATGACTGAACCAGGTCTGGAACTCAACGACCAGCGCGGAGCGACGGCAACAGGAAGGGTGGATCTATGAGTGGACACAGAGCTGGAGGGCAAGACAAGGCAAGACAACTGAGAGACAGGACAGGAACAGACAGGGCTCAAGGGAGGAAGAATGGATGCTTATGTCGCTCAGCCATGTAAATCTCCAAGTCAAATGAGAGAGGATGGGGCCGCACTGGGCAGAGAACGGGGCGGGGTCTGTCGCACATGGCAGAGCCGGGACAAGAGAAGACGTGATACGGAGGGAGACGAGAGCAAATAATGTAACTAACGGCGCGCCCTGACCTAACAAGAAGGAATGAGGTGAGAAGTCGAGTGGCGCTGCCGGGGGAGGAGATGGTTGCACCGCGAAAAAGCAAAACAATCATGGGCTCTCTCGCTCGCTCTCCAAAAGCAAAAACAGGTCCCGGGCCCCGGGCCAACAAGGATCACAGCTCCAGCGGGCCTCGACTTTTCTCGATTGGAAGGTTTGGAAGCTGCCGATCCTTGAGTTGAGAGCAGCAAGAAAGGCAAGGGAGACAGACGCCAAAGGGGGGGTCCAAGGGAGATCATCTTGTCCATGATACTTCCATGTCCGGGTTTCTGATGTATGAAGGCTGCTGTGCAAGATATCCCCGGCCGGCTCCACAGAGCAATCAAGCTCCGGCTTTCACAAGGAACTCAAGCAGGCAAATGCCGCGAACGTACAGATGGTACAGGTGCAGCAGAGTGCGTGGTGTACCGCTGGAGCCGTGTTGTTGACCCGTCCAGCACTGGGAACTGTCATACCCGTGCCAAGCTGCCTGCGTCTGCGTCTGCGTCTGCATCTCGCAGTCCACAGCCCACAAGGGCGGGAACCTGGAACCTTGAGCGTATGTGTGTGCGTGCGTGGGCAGAATGAATTCCATTCCGCACCCAGACAAGCGCTCCATAGCCCAAATCCGTCAACTAGCCCCGAAATCGACACGGGCCGCACATGTTGGATACCGTATGCGCGAGGTTTAATGACAAAGACAGGAGACGAGACGAGCCACCCGCCGTTTCGCGTCACTGAAATTGAGAGGCGTCCTGCCTGGCGCAGCCTCTGGGGGTGATATGGTTCGAGCACACAATCACTGTCTGTGAAACCTCGTTCGGCCACTTACGACCGTGACGCTCTGGTATCTTGGTAAGCACTCGAGTTGTCCCGTCTGCAGCTCCTAGGCCAGATGCGATCACGAGCCGCGTCTTCGCCCCGTGGGCATCGAGGCTGCCATGGTGCCCGTGGCTGAAACGAGAGACTGGCATGCGAGTTGAACTCTCGTCGTCATCGGGGTCAGGTCTCGGCCTTGGACTGCGAGCAGAAAAGCAAGACACTCCAGAGCCCTGCGAGCAACCGAGACAGCAGCAGGTAGCGTCCGAAAAGCCATTAGGTGCGTACAGCGTAAGCAGGGAGACCACGAGGATCAGAGCGCAGGCGGATGTCCTCATCGCCAGACGCGGTGACGGATGCAGAGGTCAAGCGTTTCCGGGTCGTCGACGAGGACAACAGCCCGGCATGCACAGCACCCCACGGATGGTGGTCTATTTCGCAAACACACCGATGCCACATGGCCCCACCTCCCTAAGCGTCAGGTACCGTACCGTCTGGGGGCGGAGAGTAAAGAGCCGCGAGAGACGATGTCACTTCACTTTCTTGCCGTGCCGAAGCCAGATACACTTTCGATAGACTACACGCGGCAGGGCGGGTGATGGCCTCTTGTCCTCGATCCGCCACGTCTTTGTACACGATTCTATCACAACTCGCCTGCTGCTGTCAAACTCTGTCAGAATTTTTTTTCGAACAGATGGAGCTGACGGATCCACGGATGGAGCCTTGGAATACGGAAAAAGCTCCCCAGGACCCTATCAAGCTTGGTCCTCAGGCGGGAGAAGCAAGGCGAGGACAGCAGGGAATGTGATAAATGACAAGGAGCTCAGCGCTGAGCAGAGGAAAAAGGAATATGACCCCCAGAGGGACTACCGCAAGACATGCTTAACTTGAAGCCGCCTAGGGGCGTGGAGCAAGGGGTAAGCAGCTGGAGGGAACATGGATGAGGGGATGACGAAGGAAGCAAACGGCCTGTGGGTAATGAGATCCATAGAGGTGCTAAAGGGAGGTTAGAGGTTGATGAGTGAGTCCCCTGAAGCTTCAGGGCATTCAGCAAGGGCAACCACTATAATTTGGGGAGCCAACACAGCCCGGACGTCACGTCGTCCCCTCGACCTGCAAAATAGCATTTCAGCTCCCTGCACCAACGCCCCGGACATCAAATGTCCTGAAAATCCCAATTCAGGGAGCGACAGGCCGCTATGAGGCGCTGCAGGGTTCGTTCTGCAGGGCAGTGCCGGGGCACAACGGGCTGCCGGGGGAGCTCAACCGGACCTTGGGGATGAGCTCAATCAATTCCGACAGACCTAAGTACAGTGAGGGCTTCCAATTAGCACTAGGTGGCTTGGAATTTAATGGGCGACAAAGGACGCAAATACAACAGCCACACACGGTGAATCACCCGCCTCAAATACTGGGCTCCTCAGCCGCAGCGGCAAACATGGAAATTCGGCGTCGACAGGGCGCTAGCTTAGCGGCTGCCACACCGCCCGCGGCTGGGATTGGCGCCGCTCCACCAACCTGCCAAAAAAGAAAGCTCTTGCCAAATTCTTCTCAGGCTAGCGACACGAGCAACCAGGTTCATCCTTTTAGCGAAGCAAACAACAAGAAAAAGTCTTCTTCTTTAATATCCCCAAGCTCCGTTCTCACCTTCGCGAAGACGACGAGAAACATTACCCCTGGCCACCTCGTGCCATTCCGCCATTCCAGCCCTATAGAGTCCCTGTAGGCTTCAGCACGCAAGAGCGCGGCCGTTGAGAAAAAAGGCCCAGCAGCTGGTGTCTGATTGGTTCGACACCAACCTAGCCCACTTGCGAGTTGTAAGTGTTGGATATTTCACGTCGACACGGCTTCTGCAGCAACTGGCCACCTAGTCGTGTTTGCTTGTTTTGGCGTTCTGGGCAGTCTCCGCAACGGTTTTCTAGAGCCTTGGAACCAATCGCTCAGGCCACTGGATCCCAGCTTCTCGGACGTCTTTGACACACGTGCAACTCTGACCAACCAAGCATTCCTCGACTGAGGCATCATCAAGCCCCTTTGACAACAGAGCTCAGCGGTGAGCCTGGCTTGTGCCTGAACCCAGCTTCTTGACGACATAGGCAACCAAACAAGTACTGTTGCCGATCAATCATTTCGAGGCATCTGGCTTGGTCACCTACGATACCACCCACCACAAGTCCACAACGAAACGTCCAAAGAATGCTGTCCCAGGAGTTCATCTCGGCCATCTGCGGCCCTCCTCTCGCCGCAAACACCGCAGTCTCCAAAGATGTCGGCATCTACTCTCACTCCCTCACCCCGTCTCACACCATCAAGGCGTCTTTCAAGAAGAGCTCCACTCCTGTCAACGGCTTAGCCGTCAGCCAGACTCACATCTTTGCCGCACAGGACCAAAAGGCACACGTTCATGTCTACTCCCGCGTGCGTGGCAACCAAGAGGCCCTCGTGCCCTTCCCGGACAGGATCCGCAGCCTGGCCCTCGCTGGCCAAGTGTTGGTCCTGGGCTCCGCAGAAGGAAGGTTGTTTTTGTGGGAGGTCAGTACTGTCTCAATCCCGTCCCCCCATCTTTGTCCCTCCCGTCTCCCCGTGTATGACATGCACACAGACTTGACGCAAGCCATTAGTTTGAATGTGAATACTGACAAGTGACAGACGTGCACGGGCCGACAAGTGTCGACGCCGCCTTGCCATGTTCAGGCTGTTTCCTGCTTGGCTGTGACGCCCTATCACATCTTGTCCGGATCCGAAGACTCCAACATCAACGTTTGGTCATTGTCACGCCTGCTTGAGCTCAATGTTCAAGGGGAGCACGAACCCGATCTGACACTGTCCAACCACCGTGGTGCCATCACCAGCTTGACCGTCGGACCCAGCACCAACCCGGAAACCAGCATATGCGTGTCTGCCAGCAAGGACAAGACATGCATCATTTGGAACTATCAGACCGGTCAGCTTCTCCGGACGTTACTCTTCCCCGCCTTTCCCCTCTGCGCCCGTCTCGATCCGAGCGCAAGGGCTCTTTTCGTTTCTTCTGAGGATGGTGCCGTCTCCCTGATCGAGCTGTATGGTGGCGAGAAGCCGGTGCTTGGCTCCCGCAGCACAGAGCTGCCCTCCATTGTCGTGCAGGTCAGCGCCCCGCTGGCTGTCTCAGATCCAGAAGCCGGCCAGCCATCGTGCCTGGCTGTAACATACGACGGCACTTCGATTCTGTCTGGGCACACCAGCGGCAAGATCTTGCGGTGGAGTCTGGCTGAAAACTCCCACCCGACCGAGGTCGCGAGCCTCAATGCCTCAGTGACCAACCTTTGTTTCGTCCCTCCCTTGTCGACGGAGCAACCCACCAAGGCCTTGGCCATTGTCAAGCCAAACCAGAACCTTAAGCAATATGCCTTTACAGGGCAATTGACTACCGATCTCGGAGATGGGACACGACTCAGTCGGATGCTAGCCACCAACGGATTCTCGTCTGAATCCCTGGAGACAGCAATCTCATCCGTGTCTACGTCATCCAACGGGAAGCAAGACGACGAGCTTGCCAAGCAAGAGGAGCAGTTCCGGGCCATCATGAACACTTGCAAGATCCTCAATGGCCCGATCAGTTAGAGAATATGCGGGTGCAGGCCCGGCTTGAGTGCCGTGTCTGGATGTCCTATTTCGTGCCCAATCCAAGTGCTCAATACGGGCTCTATTGCAGCCCGAGATGCCGTTTCCGGGTGATTGATGTCGCTTCCCGTTCGCTTTTTCAGCCTCAACGGGCTCGAGCGCATCTCATGCAGCACGTTGCATATGAGATCCGACATGTATGGCGCACGGCCTACGACCGCCCCTGACAGACGGCAACATGTCCAAGCGCACGGCAGGACACGCACTGCAGCTGTGGTTCATGGAAAGAAAGCATGGCGTTGATTCTCGACCGTTTGTTCGGTCTCAGAAACACTTGCATGCATGAGGCGATGTCATGCTTGCTGAGGCCAGCCGGCCTGGGGTTGCATCTCACCGGTTCGGAGTAACGTGCATCTCATCGAGAAACTGGTGCATCGAAGCGACTGCAACCCAATCTAGATGCAAGGGCACATGGGAGCGGAGCATCTCGAGCATTGGCGCGAGCTTAGTTCCAAGCCGACTACTGTCATATGCAAGGGGTTCCGATACTAGGGGTTCTTGGTGTGTAACCTTGGGCACTAGCCAACCATCAAAATGTTGTCATTTATCGTATTCATGAGCATCAAGGTTATGGACTTGACCGAATTTGTGAAAAGCTGCAGTTGTTTTGAGGGTTGCGCATGCAGACTCCCGATGTAGCCAGCAACCTAGCAGCCCGAATGCTTAACGAGGCCATCCACATCGATCACACCTAGGTACTTGGATATTCTTGGAAATTGAATCATATCTTGACCATATTGAACCCCTTGCATGTGAGTCTCTTGCATTCCGCCAATAGAGACGAGCGGTCATCAGTCCGAGACAACGTACGATTCATGCTGTGATCGCCTCTTTTTATTCCATATGTGTATGCCCTGAATTCTTGATATCTGTAGCGCAGGGTAGGATAAACAGAACACGCTGCAAGGGAGGACTCGTGAAATGCCATGGTCAGAAGTACCATATCCTCGTGGCCATATGTATGCAAGTGATGGCGAATGTCTTGAGGGAGCCAGAAATGGACTCTGGAGCAGCGAGTTGCAGTTGAAGGCGCTGACTTTGATGCAGTTGAGATTCCTCAAGGTGCATTGCCCGAGACAAACGGTTAGGCACATGGAGGCTCCCTACATCTCCTTGCTTGCGTGCGAATTTCCATTGTGTACTGAGCAGGGATCTAGACCAGTTATGGTCAATCTCTTCCCTTTCTCATCATAATTGAGATGAGGGACTAACATGATCTCGTATTAGTTTACTGAAGTCTTAGATAGTGCTTTAATTATGGGAGTGAGTAGGTACGCTCTAGTAGTCCCCGCGCAAGCAAGGGGATAGCCCGGCACACACAGTTGTTGTCTTTGAGATGCAACGGTCGGTCGACCGTAAATGCGAACTCGCCAGTTTCTTGGCTCTCGAGCACGAAGAAGAGCCCTCAGTGAATTCCCTTCTCTATGTTTGCGGTGTTCACATTTTCCTTCTTCCTATCATGGGTCTTTGTCTGTTCCTCCTCGAAGAGTCGCTCTAAATGTTGAATTACCCTCTCACTATCGGCCACATACCGGCCTAGGTAGGAACATGCGTGAGATATACTATTTCACTACTTCTGTTATAACTTGCAGCACTCATACGCTCTGCCAAATAGAGCTACACACTCGCAAACAGTAGTAATTCATCCTCCATTCCTTTCCATGCTTAGACACACCACTACCCAAATGATAGTCCAGGGTATATCTCAATCGTAAATATTATGTCTTGGTGATCCCATTGGTCCGAGAAGGCATATCGAACTGGAGCAAGGAAACCCACGGCCTTGTCAAGAGGGCGAATTGCAGCCCAGGTAATCCTGATGATGCAGCAAAAAGCCGAGTTTTGATACCAATCGAAACCCCGAGATCTTCACCGGATGAGCTACCGAAGAGTAGCATCACCGACACACTGTGTTCTCACACCCCATGGAGGCAAAATGTACAGTGCGGATAGATGCCCCCGGAAATGCCGGCCGGAGCGGCAAATTTCTCCGCCCCGACTAACACCGAACTCGCATCGCCAAATGTCTTGCATCATCGGACAGTCCCAAGCCAGTCGCGAATCTCTTCCCCGTTCCTTGCAACCCACAACCATCCCCGATAATGTCTGTCGTTGCAACTCTCAAGGGCGACATGCCGCAGCAAGTACGATCACTCGTGAGTCGCCCCCGACCCTCCGTTTCTCTCCCTTGGACCAGTTGCCTCGGTGCAAAAATTCAAGCGGGCAGAGATCTTTGACATGTCGCTTCTTGAAGGCTTCAATTGATTCTAGGATTGCTGACGATGGAGTTTTCTACAGTACCGCCAATTATTACGGCAAGGCGAGCAATTCGCCGCGTACAACTTCCGCGAGTATGCCAAGCGACGGACGAGGGATGCGTTCCGAGAGCACAAGGATGAGCAGGATCAGCGAAAGGTGCAGGAGCTGGTTCAACATGGTTTGAAGGAGCTTCAGGGCATGAAGGTGAGGATACACAACCTCTGTCGGGTTGAGGGTTGGAGCTGACAGCGGAGCAGAGGCAAACAGTCATTAGCCAGTTCTACCAACTGGACCGGTTAGTTGTCGAGGGTGGGATCTCGGTAAGTACCGGCTGTTGAGGGAACAACGAGGAAAATACTAACATCTAAACCAGGGCAAGCAGACGGGCAAGCATGGAGGGATCGTGAGGCAGAAGGAGCAGGGGTATGTCACAGCGCCGATATCGAATATCTGAGTGGAACTGACAACTGCATAGTTACGACTGAACGAACCGAAGCACGACGACATCTTCCATCCAACTCAAATAAAAATCCAAGAGACGAATCGAGTGTACAGTAGGACTTTGGGGAGCTATGTATATGTATCGGATACCACACAAGGGGTTTGAGGGCGACGGCGGACCGTGAGGGCTGCGCCGAACCTGAACAAGGAGGGTGCATCACGGTTGGGGACATTAACGTTAGACGGCGAATCTCAATTCTTCCTGGCTTGGCTTCTCTACTACTTGAAGGTCTATTGCTGTGCTTGGCTGAGCTTGCTTCGGCTTGCTGTGGTTGCCGGCCATTGCATCCCCGGTTTCAGTGTGCCCCTCGAGGACGGGAGTGACAGTACGACGACAACAGCGTAGGACATAATGACCCCAACTCCTCTGAACCTCCCATTAATTTTTCATCTACCATAACCATCATTCACCTGTGACGTTTGTCGTCTATGCCATTCACTTTGCGCGGCGCCTGCTAAAAAAGTTCTGTGTGTTATGTCAGCCGGCTATCGCCACATTTAATTGGCCAGTTGGCATCAACCACTGGAATCTCCATCGCGACTCGCGACAAGCCTCTCAGCCTCGTACAATACAGACCCAGAAGCAGTTTATTCTCACCAGCGCCACGCAACCCAATCACGGAAAACCGTCCCAACTTGCCTGCATCAAAGTCATTGCACGAGCCGTTGCGCTCTTTCATCGGTCGCCATGGCCCCGGGAGTATGTTGACTCTTAATTGCTGCCTGCCGCAACCCTCGAACTGACGTGATAGACGCGACGCGCCAACCGTTCTGGATACGCCGAACACGATGACTTCGAAGGTGCGATATCGCCGATCGCCAGATTCATTACATACTAACTCGTCAAAGGTCTCCCCGTGCGACAATGGCGCCAGGAGTGGGTGAGCGTAGTTCCTCCTCCACAACAGGAGCAGCCTCAGAAGAACGACATTTGGTCCATCGAACTCATCCATGGCATGCCCAAAGACTCGAACCTGCTCCCACCGCATAGCCAGGAACTTCTTGCGGCCGCGCGATCCGGTAGACTATATAAGCGACCTGCGCCGGCCGAGGAGGAAGAGGCTGATGCTGAGGCGGTTCCTGAGAAGTCGGAGAAGAAGGAGGAGGACACAAGTGTCAAGGGCTTTAGCATCAAGGTCTGGAAGCAGATGCCTCGCAACGTCGACACTCCTTCTACGTCCCACCTCGCGAAGCGACGCAAGAATACCGTGACGATTGCCAGTCGGACGGTCGAGGATAAGGTTCAGGGCCCGACGGTTACGAGAGCGACAGTGAGGAGGCTCGACGCTGCTGGAAACCCATACACGGAAGAGGTCACGTTGGCAGATGGACAGCAAGTTCAGGGCGAAATCATCTCGACGAGGATCGAAGCTGCGCCCGGGCCTGGTCTTGAGATGGCTGCCGCGACGCCGCAGTCGTCGAGACGACGACCTCCACCTCCAAAGAGAAAGGCCAAGGCTGGTCCTGGCAGAGGAAAGAAGAAGATCAAGAACCCCGTTCCGGAGGCTGGCGCGCCTGCACCTGCGGCACCTGCTGGCGCAGCAAATGGAGCTGCTCCGGCTGCGCCCGTCAAGCCTGAACACGCTGCGGAAGCCGTAAGTCCCTGCGCAATGGGTATTTACTCTCGATTGCTAACTGTAGATAGGCTATTAAGCAAGAGCGCGAAGACTCAGCGAACCAGGATAGCCCCATGGTCGATGCCGACGATGATGACGATGACGATGAGGACGATGGTGAAGAGGGAGAAGAGGGCGAGGAGGGTGAAGGAACACCGGCGGCAGAGAGTCAACCAAGTGGCGACAACAACAAGACGCAAGATCATGAGATGACAGACGCGGCTCCAGCTCCAGCTCCCACTTCTGCTCCCGCTGTGGTTCCGCCTCCAGCTCAAGCTCCGACTACGGCACCGGAGGCTGTGGCCACGGCTCCAGCTGCAGCTCCAGTCCCAGCTCCAGCACCTGTCCCAACCCCTGACGCGGCTGCTCTTCCAACCGAACAACCCGATGTCGAGATGAAAGACGATACCTCACCACAGCACCCACAACCAAGCCCTCTCAACCTTGCTCCTCCTCCGTTGAACCTCACTCCTGGAGGCTCGGGACTTGGGGGCAGTCCTTTGAAGAACGTCATTCTTCCCTCGCCTACTGTAGAAAAGAGCGAGGAGACGTCACTTGCGGCAGTATTGGACGCTCCTGTTGAGGCAGACAAGGCACCAGTGCCTGCAACGGAGGAGGAGAAGCTAGTGAAGGCCGCTATCGATGCTCCTTTCGAGGCAGGCAAGGTTCCAGAGGTGCCCCCAGTGCCGGTTGTGCCGATCGCACCTGTGGTATCTGAGACAACAGACTCAACTGTGGCCGAGCCACCGTCGACAATTGTCGGAGATACCCCTGAGACTGCAATTGAGCGCGATGTGCCGACTTTGGAGCCAACGGCCAGCGAAGCACTGCTACCGCCCCCACCTGAACAAGTCGGCAATATTGCGACCACACCAAGTGCCGGTGAGCCAAGTAATTCTGCTCCTGGAAGCGATATCAGACCAACGGCAGAGAGTCTGTCTGGTGAGGAGGCTACGACAGTCCCCGAGAGACCGCCCTTTGAGCAGATGGATACAGGTCTTACTGAGGATACTATCAAGCCTGAGGATTCGGCTTCTTTCATCGGGGCACCCTCTGAAGTAGCTGATGTCTCAGTGACTGATGCGCCAGCACCTGCTCCTCAGATTGAAGAGCCACCCCCTGAGCCACCAGCTGAGACGACTATCCAGGAGACTAGTGTTGAGGAAGCCAAGCCTGTATCACCTCCTCAGCCCGAACCTCAGCCCGAACCTCAGCCCGAGGTCCAACCCGAGGCCCAGCCTGAGGCCCAACCTGAGATCAAGGAGGAGGAGCCAGCTCCTTTTGAGGAGCCTGACTTGCTTGGTGACTTGATGGGCGAGCTTGACCGCCAGTCCGAACAGAAGCCGATTGAAGTGCCAGCCCCGGAACTAGAGCCTGTTGCTGAAGTTGTCACTGAGCCAGCTGCGGAACCAGTTCCCGAACCTGCACATGAGCCTGTACCTGAGCCCGCGCCTGAATCTGCACCTGAATCTGTACCTGAACCTGCGCCTGAACCTGCACCCGAATCCGCCCCGGAACCAGCCCCTGAGTCGGCCTTGATACCAACCGAATCACCAGCAGGGCCTGCAGAGGAACCCATGGCTACAGATGAACCTATGGTCACAGATGAACCTGCGGCCACAGAAGAGTCAAAGCCCGAGGAGCCCGTGCCTGAAACTGCTGCAGTCGAAGCACCAGCGGCAGAGGCACCCACCGCCCCCGAGCCCATGCAGACCGACGAGCCCATGCAGGTTGATGAACCAAAGTCAGGGGAGGCCTAGGATGCAACCTTGACAGGCATGGATACGGAATTGTTGGACTTTTTCTCCTAGACCTAAAGGCGATGGATGCGATCGGCTTATAAATGTAAAGAGAAGAATCTTGGTTGGTACTTTTTGGGCCACACATGAACGGAACTGGGCTTGTACAGTATTATTGCTACAGGAGTTGAGAATGGGTAGTTTCTATGAATTAACGGACGACGAGCGTAACCAGAGCATTGTGCACCCTGTTTCTCAAACGCTATGGTGCTCCAGCAACTCGGTTCCGCGGAGCTGATGCTGTGTCTACCTCTCTCATGGCTGTGCTACTCCCACGACTTGTCCTTGAACTGATAATTCTCATCTTTGTCTTCTCCGTCTCGGGCAATGCATAGCGGCCATGCACGCGAATGCCTCTAGCATGGGCGTTGCTCAAACCCAACAGGGCAGCGCTTATAAGCAATAGTCCAACAAGCACAATAGACCCAGCCTGTGTCATGTTTCCTCCCAGCGCGGCAGTGAGATACACAAGCAGCTTGGCTATCGCCTCGAGATACCCGTCGATGTGTGACTGAGCACGCAGCCAGGCATGTGTCACGAGGGCCTGAAGATCTGCATCTGGACCTCGAAGGCGCACAGCGTGGCCGCCACCGAGATCGACGATGTACTCGGTGACGCGATGGTCGTGAGGAGTATGGCCTGGTGATTGGGTACGGTGTTTGATGGCCCAGACGTTGAGGATGCGTGAGGTTATGAGTGTCAGGAGGATGGCCAGACCCCACCAGTCCTCAAAGAGGATCATGAAAGTGAGGGAAGACACTGTGAGAAGAGGGCTGACGAGGTAGAGTAGATGACTGAGCCAGTCGACGTCAGGGAGGACATCCCAGTCATCATCATCCTCGTTCTCATCCTCTTCATCTTCAACCTTTCGTTTCTTGAACAGCTTTTTGAAGGCTTTTACTGCTCTCCACGGCATGTCTAGCCCAACATCCAACGTCACAATACCTTCTGGACTCTGGCTGCAGAGAGCCACAAGATAGCTTGCCGTGATGCTATTCTTGACTGCATAACGCACGCCGTTGAAAGCCTCGACGGGTAGGGCGACTAGACCAATAGGGGCCTCTCGCTCAAAGTCGTCGCAAGCTTGTTGGTAATGCAGACCTGGAGCGAGAACAAGGGAGTCAACCCAAGAAGCACCGCCTACGAGAGCTGTACGACGGGAGATTGTGCGGAGGTCGGCGAGGGCCAGGAGACCGCTGGCGGAGAGGACGATGTCGGGGAGAGGAGTTGTGGTCCAGGATGGGATGAGGGATCGGGGCTGGTTGTGTGAGTGGGAGTTTTTGATGTTGAGGTTAGACTTGCCTCCATTATTTTTCTGTAGCGACTGACTATGTGGCTCGGGAGAGTGGGGGGACGGAAGAGATGTGAGAGTGTGTTGGGTCTTGAGCAGAATCTATTCGTTCAAGTCTAAGGCTAACACGAGTTTCGAAGGATATCGAGGCGGGATGCTGGAAGTCACTACCAGCCTCTGAACACAGGGTAATAACTCGAGAGCTATGAGAGAGAATTCTACGAGGTCCATGCTAGATTTAGTATTTATGGATGATGTGCCAAGTTGAAAGTTGAGACATGAGGTTGTGGTTAGTGGCACGCGATCTAGCTTGGAGCCGCGTGAATGTGTCTCCTGACATATGTCTTGTGTAGGACGAAGATATCGACACTCTAGGAATATCAGACAGAAATTTCAAGATTTTTATTTATGATTGGAGAAAACCTACCGGTAGATGAAACATTTTTACTTTGTAATGTTTCCAGGTTACCTTTATGTGAAGCACGCGACAGGCGCTATCCCCTTCACTCGTAGTCGTGCTTAGTATCGACGAGGTGGATAAAGTACTTGACAGATACTGTACCCTCCAGCTCACTTGATCCGTTTTCTGGATTTATTGGCTATTCAGTGTATTCAATCAATTCAGCTTATCTATGTAATTCTTCAACCATACCATTTACACTCA